GCAGCCACCGTGTCAATCATCACATGGAGGGCCTTCCTCTCGCTCACTGTCCCCTCTGCTCTATCAAGTATGATGTCCTTCTGCAGGGACTAGTCTCTCTTGACATGTCCAAAGTCTGTCAGACAAAGCCTCACCCTCCTCTTAAGAGAAGCACTCTGGCCTTACTTCTGCCAAGGTAGATTGGTTTGTCTCTTTAGCAGTCTGGGGCACTTTCAATATTCTTCTCTGGCGTCACAATTCAAATGCATTGGTTCTTCTAAGGTCTTCCTTCTTCAATGTCCAACGTACACACACACACACACACACACACACACACACACACACACACACATGGATGGAAAATGCCTTGGCTTGGTCAGGCCCACCTTCATCCTGAAAGTAACATCCTTGTGTTTTGATACTCCAAAGAGGGCTTGTGTAGCAGATTTACCCAATAGAACTCGCCATAAATCCTTAAGGAAGTAGATTGCCAAATCTTTCTCACGCAGAGATTAGAACCATCAACCTTTCAGCTAGCAGCCGAACTCCCAACCTCTGTCACTGCTCTCATCCAGGCACTGTCAGCTCTGGCCGGGTTTGCTATAGCTGGTGTACTAGTCCCCAGCCTGCAGTTTCAGTTCTCAACACTCTAGATGCCATTGGGAAGGTAGGGAACAGCCCCTGTCTTAGGAAGGGCTGGCTCGTGCCTGGCAGGATGTTTAGTTAGCATCCCCAGCTCATTCATTTCTGGTCACACTGCTGGCAGCCATGGAGTGGGGGGGCCAACCTGGGAAGTAGAGCAGCATGGTATCAACATCCCCTCCCCCCTTCCTTGAGAATCAAGGCACATCTTCCTTGCTGGATTTTTTTAATGACTTAGTTGACCTCCTGCTCCATAAATGGACCCCTGGCCTCTGCAGCATCAGCGTTTGCAGGCGCCCTACCTGCTTGCTCAGGAATGTGGCCAGCCCTTGCAGTTGCCAGGGATAAGGTGGACCAAGCACAGGTGGGTTATTAATCAGGCTAGTTCAGAGGATTGGCTTTACGTTCATTAACTAGATGAAGTACGGGGATGATGAGTAGAACCAAGAGGGAAAAGCACAGGGTTCAGAGTTAGGAATAGCCCTCAATAACCTGTTGTGGGAACTTTTCACACAGTCCCATTGCATCATGTAAGAAACGGGACTCTCGCTGGCTAGGCTGGGAGACAAACTGAAGCACACCACCACTGGCCAGAGTTAGCAGGTAGGACCCATCCAGGGGCAACTCAGAGGACGGACCTGACCACGTGGTTTCAAAAACTGTTTGGAGCTGTTGGGAGGAGCCCTGGGGCAGTGCTGATTGGTTTCGAGTCAGCAGTTTGAAACCACCAGCATGCTCAGAGGGAGAAAGATGAGGCTTTCTACTCCCATAGTGACAGTCTGGGAAACCTACAGGGGCAGTTCCACTCTTGTCCAGTAGGGTCGCTAGGAGTTGGGGTCGACTTGATGGCGGTGGGGTTTTGGGTTTCTAGGTGTCTGTGGGCTATGAGTAGGGTTGCTAACCTCAGGGTTGGCAGTTTGAAACCATTACCTGTTCCTCAGGAGGACGATGCTTTCTACTCCTGTACAGTTTATCTCAGAAACCCACAGGGGCAGTTCTACCCTGTCCTATAGGGTCTCTTGAGTTGAATCGACAGGATGGCACCTAGTTTGTTGTTTTCTTTTTCACTTTTTAGCCCGAGTGAAGTGGAGATTTACAGAATAGGTCATCGCTTTTACTTTCAACAACCCAAATCCATGCACATTGTTTCCGCCCCTCCATTGCGGTCCCCCGCAAACTACCATCACTCCGGTGTTCTTAAACACAATGCTCTTGTGTTCTTAAAAGATTGACTATCATATGGGGGGTCCAGGTGTGAAAGGTGATGAAGGGCCGTTGTGTGGGGGATGCCACTCATCTCTAGCTGCCCAATCAGCCTAGCCTCTTTCATGATTTGAGGTTTGTTCCACAATTTCCTCCTGCTCTTTCTAGGATGTTCTAATGTGATCCTTGTCAGAGTGGTTGGTGGTGATGGCCAAGTACCATCCAGTTCTTCTGGCCTCGGCAGTGGAGACTGGTGTTTGCTCGGTGCACCAGTACATTGGACTAAATACTTGACTGAGACGAACTTTCTTCTCTCCTTTCCTCTGGATGGTTTGGGTTTGTGGATGGAGCTGCTCATGTGGGGTTGGAAATGACCCTCCCTCTGGGCTCCAAACATTGGTAGTATTGTGAGACTTTAAGAAAATTTGAAACTATCCTCTACCATTAAAATTTTAACGCCAAGGAACAACGGGTTAATTGGTACAGTTACAAGATAACTTTCCTCAGCATTGCGAAACACTGTAAAGTATGTCTAGATCTCAAAAAAAAAAGTTTAATTTCTGATGAGTCACCTTTGAAAAGTCCATGGAAAAGGGGAATTAAGATACGAAAATTTTTTCCACAAACTTTTTGAAGCCCTCTTAAGACAGCATTAAAAAAGGGGGGGGGGGGAGCATGTATATTATCACCATCATGCCACTCCCATGTCCTGGTTGCCTGAGACCTGTGTCCTTGCCACATCACAGCTCTGAGGCAGGGCCCCAGGTCACCTCTAGACCCAAGGGCTGTTGCAGGCTGCCCTGGTGGCAGAATGGGTTACACACGGGGCTGGCTGCTCGGTACCAGTTCAGCAGTGTGGAACTCCCAGCCACTCCTCGGGAGAGGTGGCTTTCTCCTCCTGTAAAGAGTTCTAGTCTCAGAAACCCTGTCGTAGAGGGCCACTGTGGACTGGTTTGTAGGCTAGGAGCAGTAGGGCAAGTGTTCAAGGGGAACTGGCCACTTGGCATGTGTACGGGCACTGGGCTGGGTTGCCCATCTGTTCCACCTCCAGACCGACATGGGAACTGGTCACGGAAACTTAATATTCCATATTGGATGAAGGGTTTTTAACGCTGGCTATTGGTTGGGTTCTCAGACTATCCAGAAAGTGTACATCCACCTGTATTTTGAGGTCAGCCAGGCGGTTCAGTGAGATTCAAATGGACCCCAAATGGTTAGGAACCAGATCCTTTGCCCCTTCACACTGAGAGCCCATAGATGCTTCCAACTCCCACACTGCCCTGTGGCTAGCATCACCGTAAAGACGACCATGAAAACGGAATCAAGGTGAAATGAGGGAAACCCATAGCATTTAATTACATCGTATTTTATTTAGATAAAGGAACCCCCCGCCCCCAAAAAAGAACTAGCAATCAAATCGTGCCCTGGACTTGACAGAGGAAGCTGCTCTGCTTAAAGCGTACAGTGAAAGCTGAAACTCCCGGCCCCTGGCTACAGTTCCAAACAGGAAAGGAACATACCAGAACACAAAAGGGCTGTCTGTACAGAGCGAGGCAACTCACAGTCCCACGAGCAAAATCACCTGAGGGGAACAATTCAAGAGTCCTCAGTTCCAAGAGGTGGCGAGTTTACAAGTCCTGTCGTTTTCTATTGTACATGGCTCCGTCGTAATGCCACAAATAGCAAAATGTAGGCACTTGCTCCAGATTTCTGCAATGTGTATTTGGTTATTGTGTACGTCATTAATTAACAGCAGCTGCGGACAAGAGAGAATTGTCTCTGGGGCTGCGGCGGATGCTCCTGTTGTGACTACAACAGCGCTGCTCAGTGGACAGAGGTACAGAGCGTGGACAGAAGTACGTAAGGGCACGTTGAGGAGACAGGAGTACAGAAACAAGCACGGGAGATCAGCAACAACTGGGACACTGGGAAGACCAGGCCCCATGTGGAAACAGAAGCTCAAACACAAGTGGGAAGAGGGGGCAGGATGCAATTTAAATAGAAAACCTGTTCCCACAAGCTACGTGAATCTTTCACGGGGTCGGGGGCAACCCGGCAATATTTGAAGCATCTTGAAATTCTCAAGGACGGCTGCCCTTGGCCGGAGGTGACGATCCTTCCAAACCTGACCCCAGGCCCAGGAATGAAACAACGTTAAAGCCTCACCTTGGCAAAACGGAGGAGTGATTTAGATCAGAGTTGGTCAATTCGGGGGTTTTCAAAGGAAGTAAAGTTAAATGTAAGTGGCTCTTCTATTTGTTTGAGAAGAGCCCTTAAAAGGATACTTCAATGGTTTGCAACTTCAAAGCCCCACATAAGGCATCTTACTAATACAGCCAATTCTGAAAACTAATTACTACTGACTGGAGTCAGGTTGGTTAACCTAAGAGAAAATACTTCCAATGTCAATGCACAGGACACCCTAGCACAGTGGTTTTCAACTTTCCTCATGCCGTGACCCTTTCATACAGTTCCTCATGTGGTGGTGACCCCCCAACCATTAAATTATTTTGTTGCTACTTCATCACTGTCATTTTGTTAGTTAGGAATCGGGTGACCCCTGTGAAAGGGTCGTTCGACCCCCCAAAGGGGTCACAACCCACCGGTTGAGAACCACTGCCCTAGACTGTTACTCCCTTTTAGGGAGTTGAAACTCCAATTTGAGGAGTCATGAGCTATGTTTCTCAGGGAAAATGACGCGGTCGATATGCCAGGCCAATTCTAGGTGTGAAAAGTAGGCGCCAGACTGTCTTTTGTGTGACAATTGACACCACACTTCCACATGACCGTGGCTCTATACATTTTTGACAGTTACAAAAATATTTCAAAGATCATCTTTTATTTTAGGCAGGGCTTTTTTTTTTTTAAAGTAAGCAGCCTTCTGAGAATTTCCTTCTAGAGACGTGTGCCATTGTTTGCCACTATAAAACCAATAATGTTCACACACAACATGAGCTTTTTCAAGATGATGCCAGTAGCTGATGGAGCTCTGCCGGTAACATCAGTCTGTTTCAGCCGCTGCATCCCTCTCCCGGGCTCCTCCGGCACTGACCTCAAGCCAGCATGGGCACACAGAGTGACTGGGATGAGCAAGGTCAAGCTGACTGGCTCATTGGGTTGGAAGCCAGGAAACCTGAATCCCAGGCTTCCTACATTCCTAATAAAACCAGCAAATCTAAGTGAAGCAAAAACTTTATTTAAACCATTTGTCAAATCACAAGGTATCCAAATGAACATAATGCAACATTGCTCTTAAAAAGAGTGGGCACAAATATGGCACAGACATCCAGTCTAGCAAAATACTATTTGGAAAGAACTGGCCCTATGTCAGGCTACATGTGTGCACAGGGCCCAGCAGATAGGAGTGGAGTCAAAAACTGAACAGTCCATTCTTTTTCTTTGTAAGATGAAAACATTCCACCTACTGTCTCAGGACGGGGTGCGCACGTTCAAGCCACGCTACCACAGCCAGGAGAAAAGGCTCAGACGGAACCCGCTTCCCTCCAGCCACCCGGGGCTCCGAAGGAAGCATCTCCCCAGCAACCATTGGGCTTTTGGTCTGTCTCCAAGAGGCTTTGGGGGTTTTGGTGCACACTGCACAGGATGGGAAGAGCGGCTGATTTCAGGCTCGTGCCCTAATCACTGGTGCAGCGCCTCAAGTGAAAATGACACCTTCTGGTTGGGCACGTTTGTTCTGGAAGCTGTTTGACCAGGTTAGAACTGAGGCTGGAAGCTGTCCACGGCTTCCCTGTGGGGTCTCGTGGTATACAAAAAGGGGGGTAACTATTGTGTGCATTGACTTACACATGAAGAAAAAATATACACTCGATACCGAAAGATTACGTAGGACCGACATATAAATACACAGAGAACGAGCTCCAGTGGAGCAGGAGAACTAAGTATTGCCAACTCCAGTTCCAGGTGAAGCGTTGGGCACTTCAAAGTAAAACACGTTCTATGGTGGCAAGGGAAAGAGGCAGGGCAAGCACGCGCCCGAGGAAGCCTCGGGGTTGTCGGGGGTCTCCTCAGGCCTGGTCCTAGGATCTCAGAGTTCTGGAATATAGGTCTTGAGTTTCGGCAGCAGCATTCATTTTTCCTTCTTCTGTTGCTTGGCTTCACAGTCTGGTCTTGCAGATGTCAAGAGTTTAGCTGTAGGAAGAAGAATAAAGAAAATCTCTCTCCCCTTCACGCACGAACAGAAGAGCTGTGGCACGTGAGGTGCCCTCGTGTGTCTTATGCTGACTTGGAAGCGAATGGAAGTCAGAGGGTTTGCGTTTTTGTTTTTTGGTTGGGGGCAAGGGTACGCACTTACTGAACTAGTGGCTGGGGCACCCCAACAACCATCAGCCTCTTTCAATATGTGCATAGGGACATTTTCAAAGTGTTACAACTGCGGGGAAAATTCACTGTTTTCTAGAGAGCGATCTAGAGAGCGGCTCAATTCCAAGCGGTCAGCTATAAACTCACCGTGGGCATCTAGTGATGGAAAGAGACATCCAACAAACTAGACGGAATGTGCTGAGTGAACACAAGGGATTTCCTCTGTCTTTGAGCCACTCCTTCCCCCACCCCACCCCACCCTCCACTAATTTTCTTCTAAAGCATCATGGAGGGGATAAAGAAAGCCACGAGACCTCATGGGACAGAGTAAAGGGGGACTGGCAAAAGTAGTAAGAGATAACGGGTTTCTCCACCAACTTTCAGAAGCCCGCTGGTATGTCAGTAGGAGAAAACGAAAAACGATCCCAGACTTCCTGGTGTACCGGACAGTCATTTCCCCCATCGTAGGTTCTGCGTAAAACGACAGTTCCTTTACAGAAAAATGTGCCACCAAATGGCATCAAAGGAGGGAAAGCCACCTTTTTCATAGGAAAGGATGCTTACTTACACGATGTCGGTGGATTCCGGAAGTTCGTCGGGTTTCTCGGCCTCCCTCTCTGGCTTCTGCGTTTCTTCCTGCGGTTGGGTTTTGGTCTCTTTTTCTGATGCGCTCTGCACGGGGCCTTTCTGAAATTCTTCTCCTTGACCGTCCTCCTCTTCCTCCTTGTTCAGTTTGGGTCCATTCGTGTCTGGGGTCCCTCTGCGCAGGTCTCCCGAGGCGTCGGTACCTCGTGGGACCGGGTCCTGAGTCTCAACAGCGGCTCCTTTTTCAGCCCCTTCGGATTCCAGCAGTGACTCTTCTGTTTTCCCTCCCGGCTCAGATGTGGCGCCCTCAGCATCTTCTGGCACAGACCGTGTTCCAGCTACATCGCTCTTGGCATCTGATGGGAGGGCGGCCCCTTCAAGCTGCTCTGGGCCCTTTGCACCGGAACCTTCCCCCTCGACAGCAACAATCGTTTCTGCCCCGTCACTCTGATCTGTGGAAACGCTAGAGGGCGTGGCTGCCTCTGGCTCGTCTTTGGGTGCAGTCGACTGTGTTTCATCCTGGGCAGAAGCGAGGGGCTCACGGTCTTCTTTTTCAGCGTCTGGGTGGTCAGCTTTGTCCCCTTGGGCCTGTGGCTCCGAGCCAGCAGGATGCAGTTCGGGGCTGGCTGCTGCTGAGCTCACGAACTGGCCGACGGCGATCTCAATCACGTTATGGACCAGGTGACCGCTCTCACTCTCAAAGGCCAAAACCTCGCTTCCAGCCCTTGAATCCTCCTCCCCTAGCATGTTCCCTTTGACTTCCTGACTAACAACCTGTCCAGGGTCTTTATCTGCCATCTGTTCCTGTGGAGTGGTCTGATCTCTGTCCGGGTCAGCGCATACTGTGTCTGGTCCGGCTTCAGCAGGAGCTCCGGTCCCTGGGGGCATTGCATCTTTGGAGGCCCGAGCAGTGGAGTCTTGATCTTCGTCGGAGGGTTTCTCTTCAGGTGCAAAGGGTTTCTCTGCAGACTGCAAAGTCTCGGCTCCCGCTTCAACAATCTCGATTGTTGCTCCGATGACCCTGTCCTCTGCGGCTGTGACGGGTGGGGTTAGTGGTGCATCAGAGCTTTGAACCTGGACTTCTGTGGACACGGTCTCCTCGGAAACAAGGCACGGGGCGCTTCCTCCCACACCGGCAACTTCATTTTCTCCGTCTACAACAGTCCCAGTAACTGTTGGAGCTGCCTGCACGGTTCTAGCTGGTGTTTGCTCAAGCTTCTCTCCGTTTGCTTGGGCTGGTGGTGTCTCGATCTTCTCCCCTTCTGCCTGAACTCGCGTCTCGCTCTGCACTGGGGAAGAGAGAGGCTGGACCTCAAGGCTATCAGCGCACAGAGCGTTCTCTTCGGATTCGGCTGCTGGAGTAACTTTGTCTTTGGGCTCGCCTTCTGCTATCTGGTTCTGACTGGCCATTCTCTCTGTGTCTGTAGACCCTTCTACTCCGTCGGCCAAGGGTGTGTCTTTGGTCTTCTCATCGGCACGGTCATCTGCCTCTGAAATCACTTCGGTCTTGGAAAGAGTGGCTACAGTTTCCACAGACGCCTCTTTATCTGCTTGCTCCAGGACTTCTTCCGGTCTGCATGAGTCCTTACCATCTTCCTGGGATTGACAGCTGGGAGGGAAGAGACGCCCCTCTTTCTGCACAGGGCCGGCCTCTGCTTCGGTGGGTTCTGATTGTGCGTGAGGCACCACCTCGCCACCGTCATGGATTTCTCCCACCTGGTCTGGCTGTGCTGCGTTCAGAGTCTCAAATTCTGCTACTGGGGCGCTTCCAGTGGGCTCACTGTCACTGAGGGTTTCCACTGAGTCGGGGGTAATAGCCTGTCCCCTGGTAATCTCCTGTGACTTGACCTCACCTGAGGTTTCCACTGCGGGAGGGCTTTCAAGCCCACTGCACTCCACACTCTCGGGGGCTTCAGGCCCCTTTGGGGGGCGTTCTGGTGTGGTCTGCACAGTTAGCTTCCCTTGGACATCTTCCGTTTTAGTTTCTTGCACCTGCACTTGTAACCCAGAGTCCATCTCTTCTGTCACATCTAGCCCCGTGGATTCCTCTTCTGCTTCTTCCACCTTCTCTAGTATTTTTGATGCTGCCTTCTGGGTGGCCTGGCTTGGGTCTTCTGGGCCAAGGGAGTCGGGCAGCTGTGATTCTTCCCTAACCTTTTCTGCCACTGCCTGTAGGACCGCTTGAGTTCTTCTTCCTAGGCCTTCTAGGTCCAGTACATCTCCTTCCACTTCCTGAACGGGGGTGGCTTCCTCGGTGGTGTCGGGAGTGTCGGTCAACTGGGAAACGGCTGAAACCATCTCTGTGGTCTCCTCCGCACCGGAAGCTTCGGTAGCTTCTTCGGCACCAAATGCCTCCGTTGTTTCTGCAGCTGTTACAGCTCCGGAAGTCAATGCCATCTCACTAGCCACCATGTCAGCCCTGGCTTCTTTGCTCTCTGGCAACGTTTTGGTACCGGTGGGGACTTCTGCAATAGCTTCTCCTTCCTCTCTCTCCTCTCCTGACCGTTTGGCTGTGTCTTCTCCTTGCTCGGGCTGGTCAGTCACTGATGCAGATATCCACGAAGGAGATCTCTCTTCCATGCTGGTGACTGCCCGGGTCCCATCAATAACAGTCACCGCCACCGTGTGAACCAGACTCTTACTGAGCTCCTCTGACACGTACACAGGCGCCTCTGGCGCAGGCTTCTCTGCCCTCTTTTGGGCTTGCTGTGCTTCGATTTTCTCCCGTTCGACAGCATCGTACTCTGACAGGGGCACTACAGCGGGGACGTCAGAATCCTCTTCGTTGACCTCTGCTGGGCCTGTGTCCTCAAGAGTGGCTTGTTCTTGTTTCCCATCCAATCTTTTCTTCTTTCGTCCAGGAATGAATTTCTTAATCGACACCCAGGACTCTTCCTTCCCGAGTTCGACGTCGGAAGCTGAGGGCTCTGCCCCAGTCCCGGGCAGGGAGTCTTCGTTTTTCTCCTCCAGTTTGGACTTGGACTTTTTCCTTGCAGTGACTAATCTTTTAAATGACTCCCAGGTGGACACGCCCTCGCCTTCTGAAGGGCTTCCTGCTTGCTCTGGGGAAGAGCTTCCAGGCCCGTGATCGTGTTCTGGGGGGATGGCAGGGATAGGGTCTGTCCCTGGCTCTTTGTCTTTTCCGGCTTCCTCTGGTTTGGGGATGTCTCCTGCCATTGTTTGGGGGCCCCCTTCGTCATCAGAAGAGGATGCCTTTCTCGCCCTCTTCTTGGAAGATCCCACACAAATTAAAGCTTCCCACGAGACCGAAGTGTCGACCTTGCGCTTTGGTTCCTCTGGCCTCTGCTCCTCTGCACTGGCTTTGACGTCCTCTTGCACCTCAGAGGCTGCGCTCTCGGTGGAAGACAAGGTGGCACTCTTGGTCTTCTCCGGTTCGTCTTCCTTATCACTTTCTGAAGGCCTTCTCACCCGCTTCTTGGGTGTCACCATCTTTTTGAAAGATGCCCAGGGGGTAACCCCTTCTCTTTTCTTCTCCCCATCGGAGGTAGCGCCTTCTTCCGCGTCCCCATCCGCTGGTGCGTCTGCGATGCCTTTCTCCAGACAGGTTATCTCCTCGGGTTCTTCCGGCGATGAAGCAGAGCTCTCGCCCTTCTGGTCATCGGTACTGTCCGGGGACTCAGCGGGGGGGATGTGACTGGGCTCTCCCGGCTCCTCCTCGCCTGCTGGCGCGCCTCGTTTCCCTTTCTGCTTCTTTCCAGAGAGCTTTTTTAAGCCCGTGCTACTGAAAAGTTTCTTTAAAGGGCTTCCCTGCACCTTTGTTCTCTCTTGGGTAGACAGCAGTTCCACCTCGCTCACGATGCCCTCTGGGGGTTGAGAGGACGCCTTTTCTTCGGGACTTAGTTCAGTTGGTTGGGCTTGGTCCTCTCCAGGGACAGAGGCTTCTCTGGTCATGACCACTACTTCCTCGGCTGGCTCAGCAGCCTGCACCTGGGCGGTTGTTTCGGCAGATTTCTCAGGGGGCAAGGACGCTACTGCTTCGTCTGCCCCCGTTTTCTGCTCCTCGGTCCTGGCATGGACTTCTGCAACGATCTCAACTTTTTTATCAAACACTTCAGTGGCTAGAGGAGCGGCTCTCTCTTCAGATGGTCCCCGGACTCCATCAGCCTGCTCATCGCAGGGCAGCTCTATCTTCTCATACTCGGCGGATAATCGGGCATCGTGCACACTGCCCCTCTCCTCCTGGGCGGGTGGCTGCTCAGAAGCCTGGGGTTGCTCTGCGGTAGCCTCTGCCTTCCCGTTCTCTTCAGGGGCTACTTTTCCTGCTTCTTGTTCCTTCTTCTTCTCAGCAGCTTCCACTTCGTCCTCCTTCGGCTTCCGGAAACTGGTCTTCTTCCTCCAGCCCGCCCAACCTTGAGTGAAGAACTTTTTGAAAGGCGATGCCGTCTCATTGGCGGTGGGGCTGGTGGGAGATTCTGGAGCTTTGCTGGCCTCGTTCTCGCGCCTTTCGTCTCCTCCTTCCTTGCTTTCCTCTGCGGCGGAGTCCGCCTCGGCGTTGGGCCGGGCCTCCTTGTCCTCGCTCTGCTGCTCGCTTTTCACGGTGTCTTCAGCGTTCTCGAGAGGCGCTTTCCGTTCGCGGTCCTTGGGAGCTGCTTCTCCTCCGGCCTCCAGGCTGGCCTCCTGATGGTCGCCAGCCCCCCGGGAGCCTTCCTCTCCCTCTGCTTCATCCTTCTTGACAGTGAGCAGTTGGACAGCGTCGGACTTCTCGGATTTATCCTTTTTCACGGTGAATTTAAAGCCAACAAACTTAAATACCTTCTTAAACCCGACATCATTAGACTGGGACTCTGTAGGTTGTGTTAACTCGTCTAAATTACTTTCAGAAGAAGGAACCTGCTCAATGATTTCTGGTAAATCCTCCTGCCCATCCTCGGCGGTGTCTTGAACAACGTCTGCGTTGGCAGCCATTTCTTTAGCTGAATCCTTTTCACCTACATCTTCAGACTCTCTCTGTCCAACTATTAGCCAAAAAAAAAAAAAAGAGGGAAAGGAGAAAAAAAAAAGTCATTACAATTCAAGAAATTTAAGGTTCAGTCTGTGTGCAACATAACGCATTGGTGCCTCCCTTAATGCCAGGCATACCACCTCCTTAGCTCCCACTCCCCAAAAGGGTAATTCCAGGTTAGGGGAAGGGTCTTAATGGTATTTTAAAATCTTAACCCATCAGGTAATAGCTGCTTCTTTCAAATGAACTTTAAAGATTAAAAAGTTTAAGATATTACTCTAGTCTGTTTCATGTAAAGGTTGAACAAGCAAACAAAGAATGTTGATGCATCTAAGTGGGTGCAGCCTTAGCATCGCTGGTTATTGCACTGAACCTACACATCACACCCATGGGTTTCAACTAGAATTCATCCCCTTTTAGATGTATCTTCTACTGTATAGAAAACAGAGTTAGTGGGATAAATTAAGTAAGAATACAAACACGCATCTAGAGAAATTGGGGCTCTCTGATATAAATAAGCCTGGCCTCTTCAAAAAGTTCCCCAAAGGAACAAGAGCTCCTGGGAGAAATTCCAGGTTTGGGGTTGGGAAAGCAGAAGGCACACTGTACTGGAAAGGGGTGCTCCAAAAAGATAAAGACAGGCCAAATTACACTGGAGCCACCTCTGAAGGGACTCCAACTGGTCAAATATTGGAACTTAAAGAATGCCATTGACAATTTATCTGACTCCCTGTATAACAACAAAAAGAATCAAGTGATAAATGTGGAGCAGAGAGCATTTCTTAAAGGAAAATTGACAAATACATTCGACTTTCATCCTTCAAAGACTGTTGCTAGGATGCTATGAGAGTTGGTTTCATGTCAACTTGGCTGGGCCAGGCTGTTCGGTAGTTTGGCAGCTGAGGCTTCCTCCACGATGTTTTCTAACATAATAGTGTCACCTCTGTGATAGGATCTGCTGTGTTCAGCCAAGCAGTTGTGGGACAACTGGGATGGAGTGCAACCTCTTACTCAGGTCACAGCCCTTACTGATGCTTCCTCAGGAGTGTGGCCTACTTCATACCCAAGTAGACATTGTGGAGAACTTCTTTGCACTTCCTGCTAATGTGGATCCTGACTCTGGCTTATTGACCTCCAGTTCTTTGGACTTGAACCAAAAGCCCGCCATATTGCCTGCCGACCCTGGGAGCCATCAGCACCTGTCATCTGCCTGCTGACCTTGGATCCATCCTCTTCTCCATCCACTATCGTCCTGCTTCCTGGTTTGCCGGCCCAGGCAGCTACATGAGTCAGGAAAAGCCTTCCATCTAACATAAGCCCCAACTGCTTCTACAACTGTGTACGCCATTTCGTGGTCTAAATTTCTCTTTGTAAGCATCACTGGGTTTCTTCTCTAGAGAACCCAGCCTAACACAAATGCTAAACCAATTTCAGCAGACTTAACTTGGATTAGGAAGTAGAGCCTGGTAATTTGATTCCACAAGCAGCCAATGAAAACCCTATAGATCACAATGGTTCATCCAGTCACAGGAATGGCCAGGACTAGGCAGCGGTGCTTCACTGTATTGTGCACGAGTCGGGTGACTCCACCCCCACAGCTAGCAATCTAAAGCCTCTTTCTCCCCTTACTTTTTTTTTTTTCCAACAGATTTGTTGTTGTTGTTTAGATGAAACCTGTAAATTACGCGGGCCTCCAGGGACTCTGGAGGGTTAGAGGAGTACTGATGGGAACTCAAGTCAAATACTGGCCACAAGCCACCATGGAGCCAGTGCTGTCTGTCAGCTGCCTCAACCTCTTGGTCAGAGCAGCAGTTACCACGAAGCTCCAGAACATTTATTCTGGCATGCGCATTCAAGGCGCATTAAAGACAAACAAATGGAAAACCGGACATTTCAGACAGAGGTAGTGGTTTGGAGAAAAACCAAGAATCTCTTTATTTAACATAAAATACATTTCCTAATGGATTTCCCCTTCTCTTTTAAATCACGATATGAAATACTCATTTGTGGCCAATTTAGACTTTATAGCCCCCAAAATAAATATTCCCATCCACCTCGGGCAGTCGGAGCCATTGGGGTGGCGCTGCTGGGTGTTGGATTGTACAAGGTCAATAGTTCAAACCCACCGGCTGACCTTCAGGAGAAAGTGGAGGTCCTCTGCCTCAGAATGCTAATTATGTAGGGCCCGTAAGGTGGAATCAACTTGATGGCAGTGGGTTTTTGTTTTAAACAGTAATGCAAATATTTCAAAAGAAAGGAAAATTGGGAAAAACATGATTATAATCACTCCCGAGAACGTTTGACTTTTGCCCTACATTTTAATTGCGAACATTCTCTTCCATTTAAGAAATAGATATACACTATAATGAGAAGACATGCTGTAAGCTTCCATTTCTCCAACTACAGAAGTCACTTCTACTATAAGTGACAGACTCCCTGGTTGTCCTGAGGTGCCACCCAGGCAGTTCCTCTGCGCACCAGAAGGGACAGTGTTCCATTCCAGCCAGCACCAGCTTCACACTATTGGCTCCACTGTCAACACATCTTGTTGAGGGTCTTTCCCGGACTTCTCCTTTACCAAGCATCATGCCCTTTTCCAAGGACTTGCCCCTTTGGATAACACGTCCATAACAGGAGACAACTTCTCACCACCCTCACTCAGTTAAGCACTTTTTTCCCCCTGATCTGCAAGGCCACAACCTCAGAAGCCCAATGGGAGTGCAATTCTCCTTCCCACATCGGAGGTCACCACGGGTCGGAAGAGGAACTGTTTCCATGAAAGATTTCTTAAAATGACCCCCCACTACAAGCACACGCTTATTAAAGACCTTCCCAAACACGTATGGCATAACCCAAGAGTTGTAAACATCTTTTTCTGAAAATAAATAAGTAAGGATGGTATCATTGACTGGAACCGAGAGAAAAAAAAGTCAAATCCCCCAAAATAAATTCTATTTGAGTACAACTTTATTGGTCACATTTCTTGCAAACCTGAGATTTAAAAACAAGCACGCCTGAATCTTTCTGGAATTCACTAAAAAACAGCTGTTTTTCTGGCAGAATGGGAGAAAGGTGTAGTTCACAATTATCTTCCCTCCATGCTCCAAAAGCTGTACAATTTGAAACTTGTTTAAAAAAAATTTCTGGGATGAAAGGAATGTCTACAATGAAGCAGGCTGACAAAACGCAGAACACATGGGCAGTACCCCCAAACCAAAAAGCCACTCACGGCCACTACATTGATAACGTCCTAACCAGCCTACAGGGCAGGACAGAAGGGCCCCTGTGGGTTTCCGAGACACTAACTGTTCACCAGAGTAGAAAGCCTCCTCTTTCTCCCTCGGAGCAGCTGGTCAATTGATACTGCCCCAACATGTAACCCACTAGGCCACCAGTCTGATGTTTTCTTTATGGAAAGTATGCAACAATATGTTATGTGGGTTGACCCCATTCAACCAATTAAGCCCAAACTATATAGGATCTTGGGAAATTTTTAAATCCTAACTGGTCCACATGTCTTGCCATGTCTTTTGATCTAATTCTAGGCATCCTTCCTGACAGGGTGCCAGCCAAGCCTGTACCTTGGCCTCCATCCACAGCAGGGCTCGGCCAGCTCTCTGCTGCCAGAGACCCTCGCTCCACCACACCACACCCCGAAGCTGCTCGACACCCGTAAAGGTCCCAGGGACTAGGGGATGGTCTACTTAACTGAGCCAGGCAGCCAAGACCGTTTGTGACAAGGGCCACCAGCACAAAGGCAAACTTCCATTGCACGTGCATCCCTTACACGCACAAAAGACCAACTTACGGCCCTCGAGTTAATTCTCTCACAGACCTTAGAGAATGGAGCAGAACTGCTCCATCAGAGTTTCCCAGACGCGCAACCTTTATAGGACCAGCCTCATCTTTCTCCCTCAGAGTGGTGGGCTTGAATCTTGTGCTACTAGCCCAACCCCCAGCTGACGTATAAGTATGGCCTTCAAAAAGTTGGCGGGAACTTGGCATTGAGAGAATGGGATTTCTCCCATGGATTCTTAAAGCCTCCTTGTCTGTGCCCTGCCAAGCCCAGACCATGTGTTTAAACCTTCCAGGAGGCTGGATCCGGTTTGTCTCCAGGCATCACGGCCCACTTACTGGGGCGGGGCCTAGTTGCCCTTCGGAACCCATCCATTTTGGACGCCTGCGTCGTTCAGGTTAAATATTGTAAGCTTCCTCATGGACTGCGGTCCAGATCTAGCTTGGGTTTTCCAGGCAGAGTGCCCGGGGGGCTGCACTTTGGCCTGAAACCCAGCGCTGGCCGCTGCCTCTGAACGGATTCCGGGGTATTAAGGGGACTTTAAAAATAGCGTTATGGCTGGACTCCTGTTCCTACGGGATGAGGTGTCCCCAGGGGTGGGGCTCCGCGGGGACTTGATGAGCCTCGGTCGAGCCCACCCATCCCTAGTCACACGCCATCGAGGGATGCAGTCGGGCCCTGCAGGGCGCACTACTCACAGCACAGGTTACTCCACCAGGGCATGGTGCGGGCCACGAGCCGCCGGGGGCCGCCCTACGGAGGCCCGGGAGGCCCAGCCTTGATCTCCCGGCTGCCTCATCCTAGATGGAGACTGGCTGGCAAGTCGGGGCCGCCAGGATGAGTGCGCCCCCTGGGGGCCGCCCCGCGCGTCACAGAGGCCGCCCCGCCCGGCCCCGCCCCACCATGGCCACGCCCCGCCCCCTACCCAGCGGGATGGAGGGACGCACATCCCCGGATGACCCGTCCTGTCTCCTGCTGTGAGTTCACGCGATGCCTTGTGCTCTCAACCCCGTAGCGGGCTGTGACTGTGGGTGCCACGCAGGAACCCCGGATGAAGCCTGATTTTAAGAACTCAGCCGTGGGGAGAGACCTCCCACATGTACCTTACTGTCTTGCAGCCTTGGAGCCCGACGATGGGCACGCTGGTCTCGCCTACGGGCTTACAGGGAGTCATCAGCCTCACTATGCCTCGTGGTGACCTGCACACCTCAGGGTGA